ACGCTCTGCATAGAGGGCTGTCTGTGATACCTAAATTGAAAAGGTGTTTATTGTATGGACGGGTCATGGTCCATACAATAAACACCTTTTCAATTTAGACCGTTATGGAAGTACCCCCTTTCCAACAAACAAAAAATCATGAAAATCGGTTCACAAATACCGGAGTTATCGCGTAACATACATACAAAAAAACATGCAGTGGAATTGAGAACCTCCTCCTTTTTTGAAGTCGGTTAAAAATGAAAAAGTTTATTTCGTTTTTTTAAGGTGCTTTTACATAAGGTTGGGACTTCCGAGTAGGTGTCATCCACCTGTGACAGGAAGTCCCGCTCTTCCGTTATCTTTTAGTTGTATGAAACAAACTATTAATTTCTAAGTTACAAAAGCTAAATTAATTATACTAATTAACAAAGATGATGCAATGTGCTAAGCTTTACGAATCTAAATCCAAAAATGTTGGAAATGATAAATGTAAACTTAACTTAAATAAATTACAATAATTGTTGTAAATGACAAATGTTTACAAATGTTTATTTACCAATATCTTCAATATCTTGTACGTTTCTTTCAGAAGAACCTGCCTTACGAATGAGTACCAGAGTTTAATGAATATAATAAATTGTAATTTGCTTACCTTTGATTAGATTATTTATTTATTTATTGTTATTACACGCTAGGAATTTTGTTGATGTAGAAACTGTATAGAGGAAACAAAGTATAGAATCGCACAATTTAATAAATTTACAAACAGCGATAACTAAAAAATAAGTAAACATTGTGTTTTTTTATTTCCTGAGAGTATTGTATGAATACGTTAAGTAGTGATTATGTTCTCCGTTTCTTCAAAATTAAGTGTCAACAGCCAATTTGTCAACGCTTTTTTACAATTATACAAGTTTAAATGGTAAATGTTTCTTTTTATGTTAGCAATGTTATATAAATGTGCCGATTTTACTAAAAATTGCCTTTCGGAGAATACAGATTTAAAAATCGGTCGAGGTACTAAATTGGTTTTCCGTCTACGAGACATAAGCAGAGGGCTTTCCGGAAAGGACTGGTGTAGCTTTAGTATTGCAAAAAGGATGTACAGTTTCCTCATTGAGAGGTGACCACTAAATTGGTAAAGTTCGTTAGTAGGGAACCTGTATGGTTTGGAGTACATCATCTTAAGGATACATCGTTGCCCTCTCTCCACTTCTAAAAATTTGGTTTTATTTGCGCCGCCCAATACGACAATACAATAACTCATTATTGATTGTGCCAATATAATGTACAACTGGTCAAGTAATGTTTATATTATATTCAATATGTGAATGCCATGAAAGGAAAGCATGACTCCAAGATACTTGATAGAAGCAACCCTCTGTATTTCCATACAATTACACCGTGGTCTACCTATATTGTTACAAGTATGTATTTTATGTGTAAGTTTTTTTTTGTGACTGAGTAGGTACTAGTGTATTTAGTAAAACACATATAGTTAGTTTTGGCAATGTTTAATCTCAGAAGGTTACGTTTTAGCCACTCAGATACCCTGTGAATTGTTAAAGACACACAGAGAATTGTCTGGAAAACGCGCGACTACGTTTTTGGCTCATATCTAGTTTGTGCGTTACAAATTGGCATACAGTTTATCTAAATGTCAACTAATATCGAGTATTTAGGTTTTCATAGTTGTTACACGTAGGAAATTACCTGTTTTTTTTTCAGATTTCAATTGCGTAAATTTGTTTTTCACACAAAGTAACTTTTCGGGCTTTTACTTTTTCCATCCATTCAGTTAGCCGTAAAGCCGGTACGTATGAGTCCTGCGAAGAGCCCGAAACTTTGTTTTGTTTGAAAAAAAAACACAAATATATATGATTTATATCAGAACAAATAGTTCCATTTCCTATTTCAACTATTTCTCAGTAACTATATGTGTACAGGTGACTAGATCCCGCCTCTCTGTTTTCAGATATTCTATTGCTCCCTCTAGCAGATGTGAATTGTGAAAGTAATATGACCTCAGACGAAGACGATTTCTCGGATAACGAACATTTCCGGGAAACAAGGTCAAGCTCAGAGAACGCTCACGACACCACTGCAAGCGGTTTATCTGTCAGCGGAAAGCTGAGAAGACAGTTTGCTCTAGTAATTGTCACGTTTATAACCTAGTCCTCCGTTACCATCCATATCACCATATCGGTGTAGATAAATTTGAGTGTTTTAAATACTCGGTTCAGAATATTACCTTATTCAAAGAAACATTTATTTGCGTTTAAATTTGTTAAAATATTCTAATTTGTAATATTTTTAGTCATTATTCCTTCAAAATCCAAAAGATAATGCAGTGTGTTCGCCAGTATCTGCCCTAATGCCTTTAGGGAAACTAGTACTTGGTGCTGAAGGGGCCACTAGCAAGGAACTTCTTGCAGCTATCGGAGTAAACAAGATATCTGAGGTTAGTGTATTACTAAAGGCGCATTACCGTTATGTCGTGACAGGATAGTCGTATAGCTTAAAGTGTCGTGTCTTGTATATTTAAATGAAGTTGTTCACATAAAGAACGACAGGATTAATTGTTGTTCACGACTTTTTGACGTTACGACAACAGACTGCCGTGACAATTGGAAGATCTAGAACGACAGTCGTCAGACCATACATAAAACGTCACGATAAAAATGTGACGACAGATAATCGCAGCTTCAAACGATTCTGTTGTGCAAACGATAATGCGGCTGCCGTGAACCGGTAAATTGTCTTTACCGGTTTACGTGACTAGTTTCCACTAGGAAACAGCTAGTCACATCATAGTCGTACAACGATAAAATAAACGTCCACGGCACAGTCACGACAGATAGTCGTAATATGGGAACAGACTAGACGCGACAGTCGTCTAACGATAAATAATTACGACATAATGGGAACCCGCCCCTAATCCATTCGAAACGTAGACTGTCATATCCTTAACTGTAGATGTACGCAATCGCTCGATGCCTGGACCTGCTTTTTTCCAGGCGAAAAAGCATTTCAAAACATTGATAAGTGAATTGAGACTCATCTCTGGCGTGACATTGAACATCTGTAGCGGAATATATCTCAACAAAGAACATAAACTCATGAGTAAATTCGAGAAAGACGCAAAAAGCACATTTGGTACAGATGTAGAAAAAGTAGACTTCAATGACCCGAAACGTGCGGTTAAGAAAATCAATGCATGGGTAAGATGTCTTCAAAATTTCTTAATTGAATATTCTTTACAAAATTTCCCTGTATTTATGGAATCCCAGAGACTTTTGCAGGAAAATCATTATACGTTTGCTTTTGATTAGCTGTTTGGTATTCACAGTAAAATAGCCTGCTTGTCGGTTTTCTATCGGATACATTTCGGGGAGTGTGCACATGTACTTTTCAATTTGGTTTCACGCTCACCGATCCTCCTTCGGTCGACTAGAAGGTCCGGAACATTTCATCCTTATGTCGTTGATATACCACCTATTCGCACCAAGTGCTTTGCTTCCTCCTTTCTGACGCGTACGGCAAAGGAATGGAATACTCTACTAATCTGTGTTTCCCGAAAAGTACAATTTGGGGCTTTTCAAGGCTAGAGTAAATAGGTATTTTTTTAGGCAAACGCGTACCATCGTCGGTCAAGTTTGGTCGGTTGGCCAAGCATGTGTCTATTAATAAAAAAAATTCACTGCGTGTAATTCGTTTTAGGTATACAAGCATACAAACCACAAAATCAAAAATATATTAAAGCCGACAGACGTGTCACCATCTACGTCTGTGGTTCTGGTCAACGGTATTTACTTCTCGGTAAGACTTATACTATCGTGTTACGCATGATGGAACACAAAAAATCAAAAGATCAGAAAGATACAGGAAATTAGTTTTTCTTGTGATTTTATCCAAATATTGATCATAAGCTAAAACCATTTTCTAAACTTTGTCAATTATGCGTGTCAATAGATGACATTGTGTGTTACAAACTAATTTATAAATTAGCGCTTCTTAATATGGGTAGACGGGGCTAATCCTAAACAAAATAAAAGAATAGCCGGCACTATCCTTAAAATCTGTACAATAAGCGCCATCTAGTTGATTTATTTGTTATTACTAGAAATTAGAGTCGCTTTAATAAGTTGCAGCTTGTCAATATAAAACAAATTAGTTACAAAATAGCAATTTGGTACTTGTCGCGACATCTGGTGTACCACTAGGCACTAAGTACCCGACTACGCTGGCTTATATCGCGATTAGCAGTCCTCTTAGTTTTTTGTTTTAATGAAACCAAGTGACGAGACGAACAAGTCGTGCGCCTGATGATAAGCGACACGCCTGTCCATAGCAGTTGCAGTACCCCTCACGAGCGTTAAGTCACAAAGATGTGAGAGGCACTGCCACCCTAAGACGTAAGTTGATAACTTCCATGTACCTGTAATTTCATCAGCAGTCTCGCCCTTTAAAACCGCAGTAATGTGAGTACTACTGTTTGACGGCAGAAATAGGTAAGGTAACAGTACTACCCTGGACGAACTCTTTCACAAGGCGTTCTACCGCTATTGTTCCACGATAAATATACATCAATTACTTTCGAATCAAATTTTAAAGATTGCATAATG